TTCTAGTAGAACCAAGCATGCCAGATTCCAGATGTCCTCGCGGAAAGGCAGTTGAGAAAACGGACACTGTCAGCTGGTTTCCTCTATGAATTATGCCAGCTTTTCTGTCTCATTGGAGTGTCGGCTCGGTTGAGGCATTTGTGCCCAAGTTATTCAGGTGTTTGTTTCCAGATTGTTTCCAAGCCACGCCATGACTTTGAGGATGACAATGACGAGGCCTGATGAAGTGAGCCCGGAGGAGAAAAATGCAGTTGATACCAAGTTGATGGAGCTCTATGCAGAGAATGATCCAGAGACGTTGGGCAAAATCATGGTGATTTTGGTCACCGACCCTTTGTATTACCAAGGCCTCGCCAAGATCAAAGACCTTCCTCCTGCGGTGATGGAAGCGTATGTCACTGGAATGATCCAAAAAGCCTTGCCGCCAGGAGGAGGTGATGAGGGTTTGACAGCAGACAGTGAGTTGACACCAGACGAGGCTGAGAAGATGCTGATGGAGTGCAAAGACCGTTGGGGAACAGAACTTCTGCGTCTTGAGGAAGCTGGCATTATCAGTGTGGCCATTTGTAATGGTATCAAAAGGACAACAGCAGGGGTTACGTTAGGTGCTGCAGCAGCCTCGACTGTTGTTCTGAGAGCTTCAGTCCAGGCGATGAATCGTGCGATGATTCTCACATTTGTCTCAGAGGTGAGTCAGGCTGCGTCCATCGTCTCCAGGAATTCCGGAAACGTTGTGGAGTCCATCTTCTTTTCCTTGCTGTCTGGTGAGGCTGAAGCTTCGGCCACAGTATCCCAGCAGGTGGCACTAAGGATGCAGACTGCGTCAACTGTGTGCAAATACGCTTCCAGAGCAGGTCTTGTCCTCTCAGTGGGCCTCCTGGGCTATGAACTGTATTCCGAAGTTCGAAAGTATTGGAAGGGGGAGATTGACGGCTACACATGCGCTCAAAACCTAACCACCTCCTTTAGCAGCGCTGCTGCTGGATTTGCAGGTGGAGCTGGTGCAATAGCCTTGTGTGCTGGCGCTGGTCCCTGGGGGCTCCTGTTTGCAGGTGTTGCTGGTGCTTTGATGGCAAGTGGATTGACCACCATGGCAGTGAAGGCTGCGTTTGAAGGCATCTTTGGCACAGACCGAGAGAGGGCCCTGAAGAAGGCTTATGAGGAGTTGGGCTTGAAGGAAGGGGCTTCGGACCATGCAGTACGTCAATCCTATCTCGATCTTGCAAAGAGAATGCATCCTGACAAAGGTGGAGACAAGGAGAAGTTTATCAAGATCAACTCGGCCTACGAGTTGATTCGTGCCTCAAAGCTGGCTTCTTGAGGATTGATATCCCAATGAGAGGCTCATTCATGAGGTTCATCCGAACCACGATCTGAGCAGTTTTGAGGCCTGCATTGGGTGGTATATGCAAGCGGCCATTGCTGCGGACCAGTTTGAATGCATTTGTTGAGGGGTAATGAATCGTCATTAATTTTCCCTGTAAAGATTGTAAAGCAGAGTTTATGCAATGATTAGTGACTGATTGTAAACGAATCGTGATGTTTCCGCAGATGGCTTTTGTTTTCGTGCCATTCCTCGTGCCAAATTCAAAGCTCAAAGATGCTCTCTTAAGAGTCAAGCGTCTTCCACCTCCAAGGCAATTATTTTCCACTGATCGTCCGAAGTGACAATGCTTCGCGATGAGCAGTTGCCTTGCGAGAGCTTATCAACTCTTAGTGACCACAAGTGTCCGCCCGGCAGACCCTTTTGAACTTTGTTGCTTGCATGAGTCTGCCGGGCCAGCGGTTCTAGTAGAACCAAGCATGCCAGATTCCAGATGTCCTCGCGGAAAGAAGGGAGTTGAGAATGCAATGCCGTGCAGAGTTTGGCAACAAGAGAATAGGCACGGAAGGACCTGTTTATTTGACCAAGCGAAGTTGGCCAAATGCCACTAAGCCAAGCCAGAGACGACTTTCAGGCGAGTGCTGAGCTGCAGATGGTGAGGCGGATGCTGGCAGAGCAGGCCAAGGCGAGGGGGATTGGAACTGACTTGCGTTTGAGGCCATTGAGCGACTGACCTAGGGAGGCGGATATGATAGTATTGTAGTATTTGACAAGTGACATGAAATCACACCGAACGGAGGTGAACTGGGTATGTGTAAAGAATTATGTACAAATATGTACAATATGTTACAATGAAATGTTTTGTAACTTTTCCATTCTGCCTATGGGGTCAGACATACCGCTTTGGTTCTTGCTATCTGGGTATATGCTGTGGGCACACATACTGTGCTTACTGTAAATAGTTATGTTTACCTCGATGCAATCCATATGTTTACTTCGATGTAATGGATGGACTTGTAGTTACTGTAAATAATTTCAATGGATTTAATTCTACTTCCATGTTACTCTTTGTTTCTACTTTTCTTAGACATTTCCCCAACATAGCAGCCAGAATATAGGTTCGAGCAGTGCCATGTAATGAGGCCTTTTGTAGTTCCATGTATATGTGCAGAAGTGTACAGCAAGTTGGTTCGGAACGTCGCAATTCTATCCATTGTGCTGCAGGACTGCTTTTCGTGGCGCTGTCCAAAAATCCTGCAGTCATGTGGTTCTGGAGGGAAACTCGCAAAAATCTTTAATACAACTGCCACCTTCGACCTGCAGAGTCATGGCAGACCTCTCTGGTTTCCCAGTTTTTGAGGGTCTTTCAATCGCCTCCCAACGCCAAAATCGCACCTCCGATCGAAGCGGTTCCTGTGTTGATGTCCAGGAGGCGCGCGCCCACGCGAAGTGCGTGATGTGCGACCCCACGCGGGACCCCACGATGCCCACGCGAAAGCTTGGATCCTAAGTTTTCCGTGGGAGGAGATGAGGTAGCACCAGAGGTGGCGTTTCAAGTTGGACCACTCCAACTCAACCCGCACAAGGTGTTGATTGAAGAACTCCTGCTCCAGTGAAGGATTTGGGGATGAATCCAGAAAGGAGATGTGCTTGAGACAGCATGGATCCAGAACAGAATCTCATAGGAACCGCGTTTTTGCTTGGTAGACAGGGTACCTCTGGATAGCAAAAATATGCGAAGATCATTTTTAAAAACGACATCCATATGTTAATTGCGAAAATGACTCTTGTAATATCTTGTAATTGCAAGATGTACAAGCCGTTGTGTGATATGGTTTCATGTTGAAGGCCCAGTTGACTCAGGGCAAAGGAGAAAGGATGAGAAAGGTGATTTCCAGCTGATTTGTCCTGGTGGTTCTGGGCAAATTTCAAACCTTGCAGAGAGAGTTTGGTGTTGGATTTGGTTGGTGTTTGTTCAATGCACAGCTGAATTATGGACTTTCGGTCCTGAACGTCCTGACAGTTGACAGAACAGGCCAACAAACATTACACATTGAACAATGATGAACAATGCAAATATATAATATACAATATATACTATATATAAAATATAAGTAAAATGATTTGCCATGGCC